TATTAATGGTTTTTACTTTTGCTCGAATATTTGTAATATTTTAGATAATTTGCTAGTCTTTTAATTTATTATTCATGATTTAGTATTTATAATTTTGCGATGGCAAATATGATATTTGGGGAGGGGTGAGTTAAATAATTCTAGTGAACTTTCCCTCAACACAATACATTCATCTTTTTACGTTATTAAATATAAACGTAAATATAATACTCTTTCGGTTCTAAATGTAAGACTCATTTTGTAGTGTAAATTACACTACAAAATGAATCTTATATTTAGGACCAGAGGAGTATAATTTTATAAAAACATTTGTATCCTACAAATAGTAAGAGAAATTATTTATCAAACATTTACTAACCCTTACTATTTTGGGGGAAAAAAAACTAACAATCTGTATTATATATAACTTAGGTATGCTATAATTTTTTTAAAAATATATCAATATATATAATATAAGGGGGAAAAAAAACTTAACTGCAGGTATCACTGAAGTAAACAATTTTTTTAAGTTCTGTTAATTTTTCATAAGACAAAAAAATTCAAATTCCCCCAAAAATATAGGGCCGATATTTTATTAAATAAATAAACAATTCAATCCACTATATTCTTCAGACCATGCACTAGTGGCTTAATCCAAATCCTCAAAATGATATAGGATAAAGGTGCAACCAACACCTCAATTTATTTTTTAGGTGCATCCAGTACTCTAAGTGATGCAATTTTACCCTTGAACTTTTTAATATGGTGCAGTTTTATCTAAAGTTAACTGATTGCGTACACGTGTCAAAGAAATTGACAGATAGGTTTGGTGATTTGTTGACTTTTGCCACGTGATAAGCCAGATGTCTTCCCTCGTTAAAAAAGCTGAACAACCCACACCGTCCCCCCCTCCTTCTTCTCAGATCTCGTCAATATTATGATTGTTACTTTTTTAAAAAAATTCTGTTAAGGAAAAAGTTTTTAATCTGGGTATATTGGCTAAATGGTCTTTAGCATGGAGATGGGGAACGGCGCGGGTTGTTCAGCTTTTTTAATAGAGGAAGACCTCTGGTTTATTACGTGGCAGAAGCCAACAAATCACTAGGCCTACCTGTCAATTTCGTTAATGGACGTTTGAAATCAGTTAACTTTGGATAAAATTGCACTATTTTAAAAAGTTTAAGAGTAAAATTGCATCACAAATAAGTTTAGAGTACTAAATGCATCTAAAAAAAATAAATTGGAGTGCTAGTTGTACCTTTACCTAATGATATATATATATTAAATATTGAAAATGAAATCTAAATAGAAAATTTAATTTATCACCCGGTTTCTTGATTCTGTTAGATTTGGACCCCTTGGCAATTAAAAAAAGAAAAAGAAAATAAGTTATCATTATTCTCTCTCCTATGTGGCTATATATAAAAACTTCAATATATCATACGGTTTCTTGATTCAGTTAGATTTGGAACCCTTCGCAATTAAAAAAATATTGAAAATAAGTTATCATTATTCTCTCTCCTCTCTGGCTTTATATACATATATCCACTTATTCCAGAGAATCACAAAGAAAGAATTGAAGAGTTTCGCGCCAAAATTTTGGTACCAAATCACCAGTGACGCTGTCGAAACTCCACCTCCATAAACCCCGCTTCTTCTTGCTCCGTCAAGTTGATATTCCGACCGCCGATCTCCGCCGCAACTTGCTGGGTAAGGAGACGACTTCATCGGTTCTTGTACTCTATATCATATATACTGCGTATGTATGTCTTTCATATCCATCGTTAACATTATCTCTCTTTCTCCGCAGTCCGCGATGTCTCTGTATCCTCATCAACTGCTGCCTTTACATGACGTCGCCGATATTGAATCGGGTCGGGTTCCGGCACCGTATTACCCGGACTCTTGGCCTTCCTCCTCCACCTATCAGCCACCCAAGCCCAGCGGTCGCACAACAAAGAACGGCACATCTTGGACTTTGGATGAACACATGTACGTACACTTTTATTATATTATTCATTTATTTATAAGAGCATTTAACCCGCAACTTACCACCTAGTTTTCAGTGTTGCTAGGTCATAAGAACATCAGTTTTATTATATTATTTATCCTGTTTGTACCTCGAGTGTTTAGTATTCTCTCGATCCTAAATATAAGATCATTTTTGTAATGTAATCCTGAATATAAGATCTTTTTTGTAGTGTAAATTACATTATAAAAAGGATCTTATATTTATGACTAGAAGAGTATTTTCTCTTTCAAATTAAACAAAAAGTTTAATTGGTACGTGATATTTTGATTTGTCTGGCTTATGAGTTGATATGATTTATTTTAACTTTGATTTAAACAGATTATTCTTGGTGGGAGTGGAAATACATGGGAAGGGAAAATGGAAGAAGGTATCTGAGAACGTAGTGACGACAAAAAGTGCAAATCAAGTGGCAAGCCATGCTCAGAAGTTTTATATTCGCCAAAGTGAAAGAGCCACGCAAGTCAAGAAAAGAAGAGCAAGTATCCATGATTTCACTTTAGCAGATATCAGCCCTAACCATCTGGAAAGGATTATTTCTTCAATAACCTCATCACCATATCATCATCATCATCATCATCAATATAACCCACAAATTCCTTCAAATCCTAACTTGATGCATCAATCTAATAACTCACCAGTTCATTATCATCTTCCACTGAATCATCAACCTCACGATCAACCTAACTCACTACTTCATAATGTTCTTCCGTTGAACCAGTCATTAGGAACTCAAATTCCACTGAACCAAACTCAAATACATTATGATCCTCCATTGAGTCATCAATTAGGAGCTCAAATTCCTTCCAGTCTTCAATCTCATGGTCCAGCTATATCACCGATTCATCATTTTCCTTCGCAGGATCACTTAGGAACTCATCAAAGTCCACTGAATCAGACTCAACTTCATTATGATCTTCCATTGAATCATCACTTACTGCCCATGATGAATGAATCAGGAACTCAAAGTCCATCGAATCAAACTCGAATTCATTATGATCTTCCATTGAATCATCACTTGCTCCCGATGAATCAACTAGGAAGTCAAATTCCTTTGACTCTTCAACCTCATGATCAAGCTACCACAATGGTCCATAATGTTCATCCGATGAATCAATTAGGAACTCAAATGCCAGTGGATCAAAGTCATTATGATATCTCATTGCCGCTGAATCAATTAGGAACTCAAATGCCACTGGATCAGACTCAAAATCATTATGATATTTCAATGCCAATGAATCAATTAGGAACGCCAATTCCTTTGGGTTCTCAATCTCATCAAGATACCTTACCGATTGATTATGTTCTTCCCATGATGAATCCCTCATTAGCATTAGCTAGCTAGGAGTTTTGCCAATTGTAATTTGTTTCTTTTTTGTTACTGGTTTTGTGAGCTGCACTTGTCAATTATTGGTTTTCTTTACTTGTGTTCTTGGCGAGGCGATGCAATTTTTTTTTGTGTGTGGAACATTGTACTTGATTGCTTCATCAGGAATCATTACCAAGTCATAAAAATCTTTATCTCCTTAATAACCAACAAGGTATAATCAATGAAACTTAATAGATGAGCTTTATCAATGGTGATTATAGAGCATATACAAAAAGCTAAGTCTTAATTATATCGTATATGAAGGTGGCTATACGGTCGGCTATCTACGGATTGATTTCTAATGTGTGAAGAAGCTTTTGTCTCATACTAAAAAACAAGAAGGACAAGATAATATGCGGTTACTATTTTTTGTTCCTTAATAAATAGTGGCAACAAACGTTTTCTAACCTTGGACCCAACTATAATCTTGAATCGAGCTGCTGGGGACTCAAATCGAAAGTGCATAATTAATAAAATCATTAGTACAAAAGGTCCTTTTTACCACGATTGAAAAAAGGATTTTTACACCGTTTTTGCAATTGGAGTATGGAAGACTTCTATATTGATACATTATGTGTTGTTAATTACTAACTTCTGTAAAATTTTATGAGTTAATATGTTTTCATTTTGCCCTTTTTAAAGAAAGGTCTTTTTCTGCTTTGGTTGTAATTAACCACTGAACAAAATGCTCAAGTAAAACAAGAAAAACTTCATCACTTTTCTAATAGTAATAAAATGGACATGAAGTGTGCTCCCATAATAAGATAATACTTTTCACCATAAGAGATTTTCAGTTGAGGTATAAAAAAAAAAGAAATCAAACTTAGGGATCAAAAATTATATTAATATTATGATATAAAAACTTTAATATACTATGCGTTATATAAAAATTGTGAAAGACGTTTGTTTTGCACTTTAATTTGGGTTAAAGATGGCAAGCCCGCTGGCGGATGGACAGATTATTATTGAGTTGGTGCCACCAGGATTCTAAAATTCTAGCCGTGCAAAACAAGAGTATATTCAAGAACTCAGTTTTTTTTAATAAAAAAAAATTGTAATTAAGTGATCATTCGTCTCGCTCTATCTCTCCGTACATACACGAGTCAGCTTAAAGTTTCGTACCAAATTACAAGTGAGACTGTGAGTGGAAATCGTTGACCCTAAGCTTCACTGCCTCTTGCCTCCGCCGCGTCGGAACGACGACTCTCCGCCCGAGCTTGCTACTTACGGAGACGACTTGATTCTCGTTCGTCCTCAATCTTTCATCTTCGCTATAACTTTCGTTTTGTTATCTCTCTCTTTCTCGGTACGTGATCGGATTTGTTTCCGTCGGATTCTTGACGACCCATTCCTTAATTGTTGCTGTAATTTCATGTTTATAGAATGATCAGTTTCAAATCGCTCTACTCAAATATATATATATATATATATTGGATTTGGTTCCCCAAGATTGATTCTTGTGGACCGTAATCAACAGTTTCTTTGTCGAACTTGTCTAAATGTTGACGAAGCATACGACCGTCGGATACAGTATACTGATATATATATGTATGTATATATGTATATAAGCGCGTGTTGTGTTGTGTATATATGATGGCGATGACTGATATATAATTATGAACTATGAAGATTGGTGAAGGGAGAGGCAAGGCAATGGAGTCCCGGAGTCAGGAGGCGGACAAGCTGTTTGAGAGTGCTCCGGAGTGTTTTCCTGAGGGCGGCCCCATCCAGTGGGAGAGGACCACGGAGGTGGCCCCCGGCGCCACAAAGGAAATGGTTTACCAACGGCATCAGGACGTCGAGCAGATTGGTTCGGGCCGGGTTCCGCCACCAGATTACCCGGCCTACTCTTGGCCCTCCTCCGCCAAACAGCCACCCAAGTGTAGCGGTCCCATAAGAAAGAAGCGCAGCTCTTGGTCTATGGACGAACACATGTACGTACCTATATTGTTGCATTCATTTTTACCTATATATGCAAGAGCAATGGCCACATGTGTGTGTGTGTGTGTGTAAAGCTGTGATCATGAAATGATGAGGTGATATAATATTTGATTTTGATCTGAATAGATTGTTCCTGGTGGGAGTGGAGATACATGGGAAGGGAGAATGGAAGAAAATATCTGAAAACGTAGCGAGGACAAGAAGTGTAATTCAGGTGGCAAGCCATGCCAAAAAGTTCTATATATCTTCGCCAAAGTAAGAGAGACCCAAAAGTTAATAGAAGAAAAGGAGGAATCAATGATCTCACTTTAGATTTGGCCAAAAAAAAAAAAAAGGTCTCACTTTAGAAAACATCTGCCCTCATTGTTTGAACCACATTCTTTCTTCAATTCGCTCACTGCATCATCATCATCATCATCATAACCCACAAATTCCTTGAAGTCTTCAATCTCATCAAGTTCATTATGATGTTCCGGTGAATGATCAGTCATCTTCTTGAGGTCTTCAACAATTGCAAGAGCCATATCATTATGAACCTAACTCACAAGTTCATGATGACGACCTTCTGATGCATCATGAATCGCTGGGAATGAATCAGAGCTATAAATCTGAGCAACATCAGTCTAAGCCACCACAAGAACCGGTGCTGATCAATCCTTAATTATTACGTGCCTAATGTATTTTTTTAAACTTCTCTCATCTCCTTTCCTTTTCCAAGTTGCCTCTTGATGTGGTTCAATTTCAGATCTTTGAGAGTGTTGGAATTTCATTAGTATTAGCTACAAGTTTTACCAGTTGTCATTAATTTCTTCCCTTTTTTTGTTACTAATCTTGTGGATATTTTATATCAGTATGGTTTCTTTCACTTGTTATGTTCCACTGTGCGTACTAAGTAGACTGCTTCATTTAGGAATGATTGATAAGTAACAAAAACCTCATTTGTTGATCTGATGGGTTCAACCTGCTAAAAATGACAAGATAGGGTTAGAATTTTAGCCGACCTATCAACACTTAAGGCCTTGTAACTCGTGCTGCTTTAATTTGAACCTATGTCAATCCACATAATTTTTTTCTTTTAATTTTTTTGTTTATTTAATACTACTCTGATCCTCATTTTTTGTTTATTTTGTAATTTACACTACAAAATAACTCTTATATTTAGGATCCGAGGAGTAATATATATGATAAAAAATAATGTTTTGACTTGTCCATGTTTTCTCATCTTTGACCTTTAGTTGTTTGAAAAATCATGACTTTGGTTGTATTAACGATTTGTACTTTTGCTCTAATATTTGTAATATTTTAGATAATTTGTCAGTCTCTTAATTGATTATTTATAATTTAGTATTTATGATTTTCCGATGACAAATATGATATTAGAGGGGGGAAGTTAAATAATTCTAGTTGACTTTCCTTTACCGCAATACATTCATCTTTTTTATGTTATTAAATATAAGTGTAAATATATTATAATTTTATAAAAACATTTGTATCCTACAAATAGTCGGAGAAATTAATTATAAAAAATTTCCTGACCCTTACTATGTTGGGAAAAAAAAAACTAACAATCTGTATTATATATAATTTAGGTATGCTATAATTTTTTAAAAAAATAAATGAATATATACAATATTAGGAAAAAAAACTTAATTGCAGGTATCACCGAATTAAACAATTTTTTAAAGTTCTGTTAATTTTTCATAAGAAAGAAATCTACATGCATAATATAAAAACTTTAATATATCATACGGTTTCTTGATTCTGTGTAGATTTGGAACCCCGGCCAATTAAAAAAAGAAAAAGAAAAAAAGTTATCATTATTCTCTCTCCTAGATGGCTTTATATAAAACCTTAATGTATCATACGGTTTCTTGATTCTGTTAGATTTGGAACCCTCGGCAATTTAAAAAAAAAAAATGAAAATAGGTTATAGTTATTCTCTCTCCTATATGGCTTTATGCACATTTATTCACTTAACCACGAGAATCATCAAGAAAGAATTGAAGTTCGCGCCAAAATTTTGGTACCAAATCACCGGTGACACTGCCGAAACTCCACCTCCATAAACCCCGCTACTTCTTGCCTCCGCCGCGTTGGAACTCCGACCACCGATCTCCGCCGCCACTCGCTGTGTAAGGAGACAACTTAATCGGTTCTTGTACTCTATATCTTCTTGTACCATATATATATATATATGTCTTTCATATCGATCGTTAACAGTATCTCTTTCTCCGCAGTCCGCGATGTCTCTGTATCCTCATCACCTGCTGCCTTTGCATGGCGTCGCCGATATTGAATCGGGTCGGGTTCCGGCACCGTATTACCCGGACTCTTGGCCCTCCTCCTCCACCAATCAGCCGCCCAGGCCTAGCGGTCGTACGAAAAAGAAGAGCACCTCTTGGACTTTGAATGAACACATGTACGTATACTTTATTACATTATTCATTTATTCATGAGAGCATTAAATGATCAGGAAGTAGGATGAAGTTACAAATAGGATTCAACTCGCACCTTACCACCTAGTTTTAATTGTTGCTAGGTCATCTGGCTTATGAGCTGATATGATTTATTTTGATTTTGATTTGAATAGTTTATTTTGGTGGGAGTGGAGATATATGGGAAGGGAAAATGGAAGAAGATTTCTGAGAATGTAGTGACGACAAAAAGTGCAAATCAAGTGGCAAGCCATGCTCAAAAGTTTTATATTCGTCAAAGTGAAAGAGAGACACAAGTGAAGACCAGAGGAAGTATCCATGATTTTACTTTAGCAGACATCAACCCTGAAGATCTGGAGCGGATTATTACTTCAATAACCTCATCACCGGATCATCATCATCATCAGTATAATCCACAAATTCCTTCAAATCCTAATTTGATGCATCAATCTAATAACCCACCAGTTCATTATCATCTTCCTTTGAATCATCAATCTCATGATGATCAAGCTACCCCACCACTTCATAATGTTCTTCCATTAAACCAGTCATTAGGAACTCAAATTCCACTAAACCAAACTCAAATGCATTATGATCTTCCATTGAATCATCAATTAGGAACTCAAATTCCTTCCAGTCTTCTATCTCATGATCAAGCTACCTCACCGATTCATCATTTTCCTCCGCTGAATCAATTAGGAACTCATCAAAGTCCATTGAATCAGACTCAACTTCATTGTGATTTTCCATTGAATGATCACTTGCTGCCAATGATGAATGAATTAGGAACTCATCAAAGTCCACCGAATCAGACTCAATTTCATTATGGTCTTCCATTGAATCATCACTTGCTGCCCATGATGAATGAAATAGGAACTCAAATTCCTTTGACTCTTCAACCTCATGATCAAGCTACCTCGATGGTTCATGATGTTCTTCCACCAAATCAATTAGGAACTCAAATGCCACTGGATCAGACTCAAATTCGTTATGATCTTCCACTGCCGATGGATCAATTAGGAACGCAAATTCTATCTCATCAAGATACCTTACCGATTGATTATGTTCTTTCCATGATGAATCCGTCATTAGCATTAGCTAGCTAGGAGTTTTACCAATTGTAGTTACTAATTTGTTTCTTTTTTGTTACTAATTTTGTGAGCTGCACTTGTCTATTATTGGTTTGCTTTTGTTCTTGGCGAGCCGATCCATTTTTTTTTTTGGGTGTGGAATATTGTACTAGATTGCTTCATCAGGAATCATTTATAAGTCATAAAATTTTATCTCCTTAATAACCAAAATCTATAATTATAATTGTGAACTAAATTTGATTTGGACAATGAAAATGGAAATGTGGAAGAAAAAAAAAAGAATAGTAGAGAGAACAAGGTATGATTAATGAAACTTACAAGATGAACTTTATCAATAGTGATTATAAAGCATGTACAAAAAGCCAAGTCTTAATTAGATCGTATATGAAGTTGGCTATATAGTCGGCTATCTACAGATTGATTTCTGATGTTTGAAGAAGCTTTTGTCTCATACTAAAAACAAGAAGAACAAGATTATATGTGGTTCCTATTTTTTGTTATTCCTTTACGAAGACCGGCAAAAAAACGTTTTCTAACCTTGGAGCCAACTATGATCTTGAGTCGAGGTGCCAGGGACTCAAATCGAATGTGTACAATTAATAAAATCATTAATGCAAATTTTTTTTTTAAACCACTATTGAAAAACAAAGAGGGTCTTTGTTGTATATATTGAAATGAATTATTGAGCTGCTTCAGTTTCTATTATTTCATACTTTCCCGTCAGTTGGACCTTGGTGGAGTGGTTTGACTTCACTAGTCTGACGATCCAATAGCAAGGCTTCAGGTTATCTTTGGGGATTCTGCGGAAGGCGATTTCATTACTGTATACTTAATACATATGCTAAAATTAGATTCTTGCAAAAACGAAAAGTGCAGTTGTTAATAAGATGGAGAACGAAAATAATGTGAATCATGGCGATGGTGTGAATGACATAGAAAACGAGGGTCCAATGGATAGCAAGGATGGGAGGTAGTGGTCAGAATATTCTGAAAGAAAACATGACATATACAGAGCCACTTCTGGTGAAGAGGACCAACACCACCTCGCAGATCGCCATAGTTGGTGCCAACCTTAGCCCCGTTGGAAGCCTTGATTATGAGATATTTGAGAATGATCGAAATGCTTAAGCAGGACTGGAAATCAAGAAGCAAGATTCAGATATTCCAGTATGTGATACTTAAGTGAGGATTTGCTTCTCTATTGGATTAGGCACTGGTACAGTCTACTTGGCTTCCTCGATAATATTCCCGTTGAGAATATAGCTGATTTCAAGCTGCTTCTGGCTACCAACCTCATGTCTAAGCACCGATATATTCTAGCATTTGTGGCATTAGCTGGGTGCAATATAGGATTGGCAGCTGCGGCTGGATCTCTTTGCGCTTTCATTGCTCCAGCAGCAGCAGGCTCTGGTATTCCTGAGGTGAAAGCCTATCTCAGTGGTATTGATGCTCATGATATACTGGCTCCAAGCACTCTTTTTGTGAAGGTCTTTGGTGCCATCCTTGGAGTTTCTGCTGGATTTGTGGTGGGCAAAGAGGGGCCTATGATACACACAGGTGCATGCATTGCTTCCTTGTTAGTGCATGGTGCATGATTACTTGTGGAGCTGGAGCTGGTGTTGCTGCTGCATTTCGTGCTCCAGTAGGTGGTGTTCTCTTTGCCCTTTGAAGAGGGAGCTTCCTCGTGGCGGAGTGCTCTCCTTTGGAGGACATTTTTCACTTCCGCAGTAGTTGCTATTGTTTTGAGAGCCGGAATTCAGTTCTGTGCCACTGGACAATGTGGGCTATTTGGTGAAGGTGGTTTGATAATGTACGATGTCAGTGCAGCCAAAGTATCATACAATGTTGCTGATATACTAGCAGTATTACTGTTAGGAACCCTCGGAGGCATTCTCGGAAGCATATATAATTACTTTGTGGATAAGGTTGTTCGGACATATAGCATCCTGAAGCAAAAAGGTCCAGGTTTCAAAATTCTCATTGTTGTCGCAATTGCTTTTTTGACCTCATGTTGTGCTTACGGCTTACCATGGCTGGCAACGTGCATCCTTGTCCTGATGATCCGACAGTAAGCTGTCCCACTGTTGATGAGTCTGGCAACTACAAGAACTTTCAATGTCCACCAGGATATTACAATGATCTCGCTTCTCTTTTTCTAAATACAAACGATGATGCTATTCGCAACCTATTATATCCTAAAGTTAGGACACACTTTTTGTGTCCGATATCAATACTGCCATGAGATACTATCGGTATGCTTACAAAACTATATCAATGAAATGTTTAACAATGAAGAAACTGTCCTCAATGATTGTTTATTAAGAGGGAAGAAACCACTAATCTCATAACCAGTGAACTGATGAGTCTTGCTAATCAGAATCATCAAATCTGGTTTATGTTTTTTTCTCCTCGTGAGGAAGTTCGTTAGTGATAAATAAGTAATAGCTCAACTGAAATTTTTTATGGAAACACTTGATTGAAAATTTTTGAGTCTTCTAGGATCATTCTCAGCGTAGGAAGTAGCATGGTTAAGTTTTGCCATTTTGTATTTGTTTGTTGGTTAATGTTTTGGGCTGGTTGCTGTGTATATATTGGCCCAAATTCGGCCCATAGTTATTTCAAAGTGTATGCATAAATGAGGGCCCAATCCCTAATGAAGTATTCCCTTCTTGCCCAATACGATGTTCTGTGCGTGAATATGAGTTGGTCAAAGAATTTTTAGCATATGAAGCATCCGGCCATTTTTCAATCTTATTGATTACATTTCATGTAATCTTATACTACCTTCAGTCTTAATATAAAATTTTATTTGATTTTTATTTTGGTCCTTAAATACAAGACTCCAATCCATTTGGTCTCTTATATTTATACATTTTTTTCAAGGTAATCTTTCTAATAATAGTAGTTCTAGCCAATACACTTGATTATTAAGAATATTTTAGGAAGAGACAACATTTATTTATTACAAATAATTAACTTAACTTATTTTTTAATATCTTCAAATTAGTCAATTAGTTTTTATAATTAGTATAAGAGGTAGTACTTGCTTAGGGAAGAGAAACCATGGAGAGCTTTTTTTTTTTTTTTTATGGGCCCTTGGAACGGGGAAGCCATACTTAGCGAAGGCTGTAACTACAGAGGCAGATTCGCCATTCTTCAGGTATTATGTCCATGCAACCAATGGATTTTATTTTTCACTCTCCCTCATAACCTCTGAGGAACACGCAAGATTACAAAAACTTCTTAGCTATTTATTTGCTTATGGCACACACAGGAAGGAAAAGGAAAAGGTTATTACTTTTATATTCACATATTTGTTATTTTAATTGCTTGTATTTCAACTTCAAACCTTAAGCTATCTAGTCATATATTTAACTTTTGTTGTTCCAAAACATCATTTAGTGGTGTTTGCATCACTTTCAGCATCATGCTCATAAACCAACGGTGGATGCAAGTTTCATCTGCATAAATGATTTTGGGGTTGGTTTCTGTGTGATCATTGTTTTTGCTATTTGTATGTAGGTTTCATCATCAATCTAGAGGGTGTTTGGGAAGCATCAAAAGTGCTTTTGAAAAAAACATTTTTCTGTAATCGAGATAAACTCCTCCACATTTTTTTACTTCGTATACTATAAAAGCACTTTTAAATCATGATTTGATTCTTCCAAACACCTCTTAGTTTCTAAATGAATGGGTGTGAAAGTGTGAAAAGCTGTTTCAGTTCTTCCAAATACAGGTAGATTTTCTCAACTCCTTCTAGATGAAATAGGGTTCTATTTAATTGCCAATCCAAGGGTTTAAAAACTCAGCAACATTAATAACCATTTGAAATCAAATAAATTGAAATTGATACCCCTTCTCTGTGGAAGGTTTCTGTGATGTTTTATTTCTCGTACAAAAAGTGGCCGGTAACATATACGCGTATTCTATATATTTTTCTTGATCAAAGAGATCTCAAATTATTGCAAAAAGCTTTGTCTATTTGATCCCACAAAGAATTCTTTTATGTGTATATATTTTGGGTCTAAGAATTCTCTTTTAAATATAAGAGAATACATTCTTTATTACAAGATTACAGAGAACCAACGAGGGTTAAAATGATCTATGTATAAAATAGAGAGACGCTGGACAATATTTAAACCTTTAAATATTTTTTATAAGTTAATTTTTTAAATTTTTTTTCAATGAGCAAAAAATCTGCGGATAATGTTTTCTTTTTAATTAGGATAATCTTCAAATCAAGCTATAAAAGCTATGGTCTCAATTTATTGTTTGAAATATAAATTAAATCATGATTTATTAAATTTTATATTGAATATTAATTATATAATTTCAATAACACTTCTAAAAGGATTTGGCAGTGGCTAAGGCCTATTAGTTGTGCCAATTAGAGAACTTCCATATTTATTGTACAGCATTCAAAATAAATGATATTATATGTATTTTATATAGATAATAAAAGTCTTAAATCTTTGGGAGAATCAATTAATTCAGCCGAAATACCTAAATTCATATTTAGGTCTACTTTTAGCAAATTCCTAATTCGGCCATATATTCTAATTAGGGATTTTTGAATGTGTTAAATCACAAAATGCCCCTCTTCAATTAAAAAGAAAACTTGATTAATATACCTCTCCCAAGTAATTCCTCATCTCTTATATTTTTTTAGACCAAAAAACTATAAGTAATTTACAATGTTTGAAATTTGTATATATTAACTTAACTATTAAAAATATTTTAATAAACATGTTAAATTACAAATAAAGTAAAATTATAAAATATTTTTATTTTAGTTCTTGTAATTTACGTTAGTTTTATTTATTTAACAATGTTGGATCGAACTTAAAAAACGTAATGATACGATTTAATTTAAATTTTTATTATAATTAAAATATTTTAAAATTTTAAAATAAATATTTACAACCTGAAAAGAAAAAAATATGAAAAAATATTATTTAAAGATTACAATATATTATAAATTTGAAATGTTTTTATGAAAATTTTTGAAGATTTTAGTTATATACAAAATTTCAAACACTAAAAAATATTTATATTTTTTTTTGTCTAAATATTAATAATAAGAGATGATGAACCACTTAGAGGGATAAAATAATCAATTTTTCATTTTTTAATTAAAGAGGGGCATTATAGTTAAAAAAATATTCAGCAATTCCTAATTAGGTCTTATGTCCTAATAAAGAATTTGTTAAAAGTGTAGGCCTCAATTTAATTAAATATTTCAACAGGATTTAATTAGGATTTTTCCTAAATCTTTTATATTATGTTAATATCCATGTTAAAAAATTAGATTCAATTAATCAATTGAGTAATTCCAATAGTTCAAATTCAAAGAATAGGAATCTATCCACTACCAAGTTCAAAATAAAAATAACAATTTTAAGATTCAGAAAAACTTCAATTTAGAAATTTTCTTTCAATTGAAGGGGTGTTTGGATAACATGAGAAGTGCTTCTAAAAAACATTTTTTCACAAATTGAGATAAGTTTCTTCACATATTTACTTCGTATACGGTAAAATCACTTTTAAAATCATAGTTTAATTTCCATCCAAACACTCTCAAAATCTTGTAGAGGCACACCATTCGGTCTTGTGAGTGTAGAACGGAAGAGAAGTACATGTACTTAAATAAAACCTTAATAACAGAACTTGAAATAGTTTGTCAATAACGGACACCAATTTAATATATAATTGATATTAGATATGTCCTTGATAGTTCGTTATGATTTCACAATATATATTAAATAGATCACGGTCAAAATATATAGTAGTATTAGATAGATTTATTCACAGAATCTACAGAAGATTTATTATATTTTTTTCTTAATCTGAGGTTAATTTATTAGATATATTAAATATATAGCGTTGGACAATTCATTTTTAATGCTTATATAGTATAAAATTAGCTCAATTCAAACCTTTTTATATTACTCCTCCAGTCCTTCATATAGGACTCAATTATTGAGTTGATTTTGATCCTAAATATAACACTCATTTTCATATTTATCAGTTTTTTTTAAATCACCCCTATAATACTCTCTCAACTATAATTAAGTAGGAGAAGAAGAGAGAGTATTAAGAAAGATGATTATGGTATTTTACGAAAAAACATGTCACATTTCTTATAATTAACTAACTTACCTACTTTTTTTAATCTAATTAAATTAGTTAAATAGGTTTTTTATTAAGTACCGGAGGAGTATTAAATTTTTGTCGCACTCAAAGCTTCTATATATTTGTGATTTTAAGTTGGGGTTAAAAATAATTTTAAAAAATGAATTGAAATAATTAAAATATTTTATTAAATTATGATTTGCTTAAAAGCGGAATTTGGATGACCGCCACATTGTTAAAATCGAATAAACAAACAAAATCGACTCTTTCTTATGCCCAAAATCGCCGATTTGTGCAGAGGAAAATCTGCGAGGTGGTGTGCTGCGCGAAGACTGCAGAGATTGAAAGCATTCAATCATGTATCATCCTACGAGAGGCGGCGTTCGCGGTGGGCGGGATCGTAAGTCTTCATTTCTCTAACTCTTGATTCAATTTTTTGAAATTAACCTTACCCAGAATTGCCTATTTCTTTTTCATCTCCGAAAGGCCTTGGGATTTTTTTGGTTTTTTTAAGACAAAATTCTGCGATGTGTCAATTGGGCATCTTTTCCCCAATAATTATGTTTTTGTAATTAGAAACTAGCACATGGGATAGTCTATTTTTGTTTCTCTGAATCCGTCTAATCGGCAACTGCCATCTCTTCTCTATGTCGTTAATTTTTCGTTCTTCTCGTTGATGATGTTGTCATGGTCGGTCCGAAGTGGTTTGTTGTTTTTGGGGTTTTCATTTTAACAACCTTTGGATTTTATAAACTTAAGTTGAATTGGGGGATCTGCCTTCAAGAGAAGTGCTTGGTTACAAATGTAAAAATGGATGAACGATTATGTCTTTGAAATGCTTTGGGTTTTCCTTTTTGCTTCCCATTTAAAGGACTTTTGGCCTATATTGTAGTTCCGCTGGCATCTGTCAGCTTGTGGCCAGCTTCAGCTTTGTATTTCCTTCTAGTTGTTTGTTTTACACAACCTAAGCTTGTCTTATACATTCTCTATTTATAATAACATCAAATCATAATGCTAAAAAAAATTAGCAACTTTAAAATAAATAATCACAATGCGAACAAAGTGGCGAATTGGTGCTTTTAACATGGAATGATGTCCATCTCCCCGCTGTCCCATGCTTCCTATTCTGTACTAACTGCCCAGGCTCTATATTCTGCTCATAACTTTCCTGCCCTAGTGGTCACTAATGGACTACAGTCACGTGGTACTTTATCACAATTTGTCTTTCACAATCAACCTTCTAATCCGGATCAATTTGTTGATTTTTTTTTTTTTATGCTTTTCTTGTGATGTGCAGAGTTCAGTTGGGATGATGTTAAAGTCGATAAACATAGGGAGAACTATCTTGGTCACAGTATCAAGGCCCCTGTTGGCAGATGGCAGAAAGGTGAAATTGATTATTCTCTCAAGTTTACAATTTCATGAAGAATGCTGTATATCAATACCTGAATGTGTGTGTGTTGTGAGGTGATTGCTTGGTTTCAAGGTCATTCATGTATTACTGTAATGGCGTTAAGATGGGATATGTTAGTTGGGGATTTGTGTCATGCTGTTTATTCTTTTACAATTCTAACTTTTATGAAACAATTAAACTCTGGCTCAAAATGCATGCTGCTGATACCATGATTTGAAGAGGTTTTTTTTTTTTTTTAAGTTTATATTTCCCATCTTCCATTCCCCTGGCTGTTGATGATAATTGTTGGAAGGTTATTTTACCCGTTGGGCAGTCCTGTTGCTCTTTGATTGTCTTTTTGGTCAGGTAGCCCCTTTTCATCATCTTTCTCTCTGCTGGATTCTAGTAGGAGTAGCCTAAAGACTCAAAACCTATCCGAGATTTTCTTTAAGTCTGGGTGGGAGAATTGAGGAGAGAAGAGATCGCTTTTTTAATTGCTTGGAAGTTCTTTTGAAGGCTGTGGAGGGGTTCTGGGACTAGGAAATTTGGAATCCAAAAGCATTGCTTTGACTGCTGTTTCCTTGGGAGATTGTTCTGTTATCTTGTGCTCTCAGGTTATTCAGAGTATGTTTAAGATCAAAATGGGTGGGGTTCCTTTCTAGAACTCCCCACTACTTTTAAAAACCCATGGAAATATTTCTTAGGGATAGATGGCTTTGCAATTGCTGGTCTCTTTGATAATGGGATATGGGAAATATTTCCAGTCCTTTTCGTGCTCAATTTGGAACTTCTGTTTCCACTGTGTATAGAGTGATTTGGCCATTGAGGGACTCTTGCATAAAGAGGGATCTTACTAAGAGGGAATTCATAAACTAGAATTCCTTTCTGCTGCTACTTCACCCTGTGGACTGCTGTCCGTCATTCTACTTAGGAATGGAAAGTTTGAAATCTTGGTTCTTCCCTCACTTTTATTTAAGTTGCTCTTTTCATTGTCTTGCTTTATTAGCAGCACCAGGGAAACTATTCTTCTTGAGAAGTTTATTCATAAATTTAAAGCTCTTTCAAAGGATTTTACTACCTCCTCATAGGGTACTGTAATGCTGATGAATAAAAAGTGATTTTAATAAAGAGCATTGATCAAGTTGGTTGTTGTGTTGGACGCCAGTAAGCAATAAGATTGCAAATCTGAAATTAAGCTGTCATTTTACTATTGATTTGACCATTTAAGTTTCCTGGTGGGATGTCTACATTCTACTGAATATAAGCATTTGTTGATAGTTTTATCATCTTGTTTTCAATAATGAAAAATATATATTGTTGATGTAAAAAACAACGGATTAAAAAAATCTGCCTAGTTTATCTGTTACCAGAGTCCTTGGTTAAAAAGAGGGGGTATGCTGATAGATTTTATCACCTTTTTAATGAGTGTTTTAAATCTTATTTGTCTATTTCAAATTCAGGTAAAGATCTGTTTTGGTATTCAAGGGATAAAAAGTCGATGAATGCGGAGATGGAGGCTGCGAAAGAAGAAATCAAAAGAATTAAGGAGGAGGAGGAGCAGGCAATGAGGGAGGCCCTTGGCTTAGCTCCTAAGCGTGCAAGCCGTCCTCAAGGCAACAAGCTTGATAAGCATGAGTACTCAGAACTGGTGAAGCGTGGGTCTACAGCGGAGGATGCAGGTGGAGGCCATGCTGAGGCAGTAAGGGTTGATGGCCTTGGTTTTTCAAGGTAAATTAATTGGGCATGCAACGAAGTATTCCATTTATTTTCTTCTACTTGATAATCTTGTTGCTGATTTTTCGGTTCGTCATTTGAAATGAATGGTATTGACTCTTTTCATCACTTGGATGTGGAAGGAATGTATTTATCATTGACTTGTTTCTCTTTTGTAGATGAAATCTAGTTAAAATTTCATGTGAATTATATCTAATCTGCAAACAACCTTATCACCTTATTTGAATAATTTTCCCCCCAATGTTTCTGCAGAGCACCGCGCCCTTGGAACGAATCTAGTTCTTCAATGCCCACAATCACAGACAGTCCACCTAAAGTGGAAGAATCATCTATGGCAGTTCAGTCAGCGAGGAAGACTGAAGAAGAAGTAGAGGAATCAGAAGATGAAAAGAGCAGAAGAAAGAGAAGGAGGCGTGAGGAGAAGAAGCAGGAGAAGGAAGAGAGACGGGAAAGGCGTGAGAAGAGGCATTCTCGTGATTCGGATGACAGGAAGAAACACAGGAAAGACAAGGAGAGGAGGAGACATGATTCTGATTGATCAAATATGTTCTTCTTCTGCTCTTTCTCTCGCCATTTTATGCCAAGTAACTTGCTCGTTGTATTATGCTTGTGATTTTAGTATTGTATTTTCCTATATTTTGGTAAAAATTCAATATTGCGATTTATATCAGTATCGTTTCTACTTATTTCTGCTTAGAATGATTTATAGGTAACTTTTCAACCGTGTTTTACGAAATACAAAATAAGAATGTGAAAAGAGTTTTATCTTAATTTATATGTAACGTGTTTATAAGTAATTTAAAATGCTAATTCAAATGAAATCTACCATGTTTGTGTCTATTTTTTGTTGGGGGTGAAAATTTTTATGTTTTAATAAAAATTACAAGTAATGTGAATATGGCAATTTTTATTTTTGTTAATTCAAGCACAGTGTGTGAATTTATTATTAAAGCGTGTTTTACATATTTTAATGAATATCGCACATTAGAAAAACAATTCTTTTTGGACTGAACGTTAGAAAAAGAAAGCTAATCCAAACAGAGGTGAAGAACGCACGCTAAAGGAACAAAAAATAATAATAAAGAAATAGAAAGCAAAAGAGCACACACGCCAGTGACGTCTGTGCCCCACAGAGGAAAATTCCATTATTAGAATAAAGCAAGATTAAAGGGAGCGACCACCTACCCGCCTCACATGGTCAAAGCAGCAGGGACTATATGGTAATTCAATCTAAATTTTCCACTCCTAGCAGCAAAAACTTCGTTTTCAAACCTTGAATTTTATTGAAACTTCAATTTAGTCCTCCAATTTATTTTCAGTGTCTGACAAAAACAGTGTTTCTGAATACATGTGTGGCTTTAATTTAAAATTTGACCTACCCCCCCAAAAAAAAAAGGGCCTTAGGACTGCTGGTCGGGTATCTATTTTCCTGAGTCTTTGACTAATATTTTTACTCATGCTTCTGATAATTTAAAAAAAAAATTGAAAGATATTTAAATATTATAATAAACTACAGATAAAAGTATATTTTTTAATCTAATTTTATGCAATTCTATTACTCCTCCGGTCCTTATTATAAGACCCCATTTGACTTTTTATTTGGTCCTAATTATAAGACCCCAATCCATTTTGTCTCTTATATTTATACATTTTTTTCCAAGATAATCCTTCTAATAATAATAATTTTAGCCAATATACTTAATTAGCAAGGATATTTTAGGAATGACAACACTTATTTATTATAAATAACCAACTTAACTTACTTCCTTAATCTCCTCAAATAAGTCAATTGGGTCTTATAATTAAGACCGGAGGAGTATTATCTATTTTGAATGTATTTTTTTGTTTTACCATTATTATTTTAAAAAATTAGATTTAATATGTTAGCATTTGATAATATTTTTTAATATTTAAAATTTTAATCTAATTATTTTTAATGAAACTAATGATATTAGACTCATATGATTGAAAAAACACTTTATAAATTTAAGAGAAAAAAATAAAATTTTATATACAATTAAAGAATAAAAATATGCTTTTATCTTAACCGTGAATTGTAATTTAATATATAGAGCTCAGGCCAAAAAGAAATTTAACATGTAGAGCCAAATCATGTCGTATTATTCATAAACTAAGTTAGATAATTAGATAGATTAGAAGATAGTAGATATTAGTAAGCTATATTTATTTCATGTTGGCAAAAAAAAAGCTATATTTATTTCATGCCATGCACAAGAGAAATACTAATGTTAGTAATTTTTGACATAAATATATATTGAATTAAACAAAAGCTTTAAATGAGAATTAAAAATGTAAAGAAGGTAGAAAGGAAAATATAAAATTAAAATATTCCTCTGGTCCTAAATATAAGATATATTTTATAGTATAAATTGTACTACAAAATAGATTTTATATTTCAAACCGGAAAAATAATAAAAAGAAGAGCTTTTTTGGCCAAGATAAAACAAAGAGATGCACAAAAAAGTCCGATTGTTTCTCACATGCTATAAACAAGAAGGTCTTGTAAGTTTTTCTAGTAACAATTTTTTTAATATCTAATATTAACCCAAATCTAATAATTATTGATGTCTCATGGGGAATTTAAGATTATATATATAGGCAAAGACAAAAGCATCACTGAAATGTTAAATTAGGTTAATAAATATTGTTACTTTCTTCTATCCTATTCACAAGATGCTTAAAAAGCAGGCTAATTCTATTGTAGGCTGGTCAAAAAAAGGTTAATTCTATGGTAGTTTTTATAAAGTATTGTATGGATTGTTTATTATAATTTCTTTTCTTCGTTTTTTCCTTTTACCATTTTTTCTTTATACCCTCTCAGACATTATTAAGGAAGCAGTTCACCATTCTTTTCCTCATTATTTCGGTTTAAAGTCTTTTAATTTTCTACCTCACGTGTTTTGGGAACATGTATTTAATATAAGAATAGAAAAAAAAAAGAAAATTTATTTCATTTTTAAATAGAATCAATGATTTTTGAGATGTATCTAATTTTAAAGTTTATTCAGTGAATGTTGAGAATAATATATCCCTATAAGACCTATTTAACTAATTTGATTAGATTAAGGAAGTTAGGTAAGTTAATTAATTATAAGAAATATGACATGTTTTTCCTAAAACATTATAATCATCTTTCTTAATATCATCTCTCTCTCTTCTATTTGATTATGGTTGAAGGAGTATCCATAGCGATAATTTAGACAAAAACTGATAAATATAAAAAATATATCTTATATTTAAGATTAAAATTAACTTAATAATTAGGTCTTATGTTAAGAACCAGAAGAGTATTTTACAAAGGTCAGGAGCGGGGAGTATGGTGTTAGGGATTAAAATGAGGAATTAGGTCAAATTGCGGGTGCAAATGAGGAAATTGCAATTCCTAAAAGTTCCTTCCCCTACGGCAAGAATCGACTCGATCTGACTCTCTGCTCTCTCACTCGCTCTCTCTCTTCCTATATATTTTCTACTTTCCGGCCGGTGTTATAATTTCCTTTCACGAGGCCTCTTTTCTCTCTCCCTTAGCCTGAATAATTTCAGAAAAACAGAAGAAAAAAAGGGGCATCGAAGATTATTAACAATTTGAATCTCATGAAACTTTGATAGCGGTTCCTAAGAACTGCCAAATTATTCAATCCCTCATCGGAAAAAAAAAACAAAAACAAAAAATTAAGCAGCAAAAATGGTGTCGGCAAACAAGGAGATGGCTGTGTTCTGCTTCGACACCCTCGTTGCTCACTACAACAGCGAGGATGCTCCTCCACCTGCCTTCGATGAGGGTCAACAGTAATAACCTTCCTTCATATTCCGTCTTCGCCATATCTTGGCTTCGTTTTTATTGTTTTACCTGCATGTGGGTGCTAATGGGAGGGATTTTTGGATTGGCTCATGATTTTGATGTCATGTTCATTGCTTGATTTTTCTGATCCGTTTAAGATGAGGACTTCATGGGTTATTTATTCCCTTTCTCTTTTCCAGATAAATTTCTTGTCTTTTTTTTTTTTTTACTGTTAATTTCCCCCTAGCTTCTAAGCTTGTACAAGTAATCCTGCAGTGGGTCATCATGGTCACGGATGACAGTGACATGGCATTTCAAACCACGGATGATGGACTATATGATCTTTTCAAATCTCTTGGTTGGAATTTATAGCTAACATTTTTTTTGGCCAAGATAAATATAAGTCAAAACTATAGCTTTTAGATGACTCCTATGCTGTTGGGTTCTTTTTATGTAACAGTTTGTTCTGATGAAAATCTCACAATTTCAGTAGTTTACACCGTGATGACTAAATTAGCTGTGAGCATGTTGATTTTACTTAGTATTATGCGGTACATGTTTTTCTAAATATTATAAGCTGTTTCATTTATATTGCTCATGAATGTCTATCCCTTGATTAGATTGAGAATTTGTTCTCATCGTCCTTGGACTTTTAGAGTGTTCTCCATGGTGGCAACTAGAGCCACTAGTCTCCTTTATAATATAAGCATGAGCTAACACGTTGAGGCACATATACTATAGTAATTTCCATTGCTTCTTGGTGAAGCTTTTCCCCATTAGAAGGAAAATTATGTATTTTATGGAGAATGCTATCAAGTTTTAGAAGAATCCTTGTTGTCAAGGAAATAAATTGATTAAAGCTACAGCTAGTGGCTTTTGTACATCTTTTTAGTGAGATGTTGGGATTTATAGTTCGTATTGACCTGTCCAAGTAGGGTCTCTTCGATGATAAGTATTTTATCATGTCTGTATGCATGTGCTCAATCTATGGATGCCCTAAGTTGTCTACATTTTTTGAAGTTTTAGGATTAGGTTATTGTAATGATTGTCAGAGAATTCACATCTCATATTCTTTCCCCCTAACTGTATTTGAAGTTTTAAATTCGATCTTGGATATATGATGACAGAGAATTTGGTCATATGGCCTTCAAATCTGGATCACTATTATGTTATTTCAATGACATCTTTGTCTTGTATTTTGCTTTTCCTTTAACATTGTTTAGTGGCATGTTTTACGTATCAGCGTGCTAATGTTAAGGAATAATTGGTCTTTGCCAATGCAGGACCTCGTTCATTGGGATCTATGAACAAGATGACTGGCAACATTTGCATTTTATTTTAGATTTTTTTTTTGGGGGTGATTTTACTTCTTAGTATTCTTTTAGTTCAAGCCCCTTCCCCTCTCCACCCCTCTTCAAAAAACCCAAACAATGATACTATTTTCTTATTTCAGATCTCATAAAAAGGTTTTCAGTAGTTAATTGAAATTCATGTTTGTGTATATGGTTACATAATCCGAATTTTGATCAACTATACTATTAAGAAAACCCTTTCAGAAGTTATATGTACTCGTAGCATTATGGTTTCACTTGTAGATTCTGCTCAACATCAAGACATGCAATTGAGCAATAATCATGGAGAATCTATGAAGCACCGATACGTTACCCATATCTAGTACATAGCTGATTTGATACACGTCCATATTCTAACATTTGTACTGTGATTTTTTTTTTCCCCAAAAAAATTTCTATATTTCTTAGAGGAAACCTTAATATTTTGGTTGATTCTAATGAATATCTTTATATTACTTTAGAAATACTTGTTTAAAACTTAAGATGCTCATATCAATATCCTAATCCTAAAATTTTGAAAATTGCCATATCCGCCGTATCATGCTGCACCATGCTGATACATCTACTCGTATTGGTGCTTCTTAGTGGAGAATAGATGTATTATGTTCATGTGGGGGAGGTGTGCATCTTGATATCTTTTGAAAATAATTCTGTTATCAAAATACGCAATGTGGAAGCCACTTCACTGCGTTTGGTCTCTCTACTCGATGGAGTGTATTGTTTGATTAAGAACTTATCCCATGATGCTGGAGTTTGTTGTGGGGGTCCTGTACATGTGGGGCATAAGATGTGTGGTTCTTTTACAAATCTGTTTTAATTCTTTACTTCACCACCAATTCTGTATATCATAACGTTTCTTTAACTCCATATTTCAACAATAAGTTTTCTTTAGAAAATGTGATCTTTCCTTTAGTATACTTGTTTTCTTGCAAATCTGCATTTTTGTTGTATGGATGATTGTTTATAACGGGTCTATCTTAAGCTTTGGTAAATGAGGTTTGAGATTCGTTAAGTTTATTTAAGAAAGAAAATATTTCTGTTTCTTGTTGAAGTGAAAATACTTTGGTTTCAGCCCATTGTTTGTTACCTGGAAGAAAGTGGTGAATGGTGGGGAGCCTCGGCTTCGAGGTTGTATTGGAACTCTGGAAGCACGCTACTTGATTAATGGCTTCAGAGATTATGCACTGACCAGGTCTGATGATGTAATCATGTATTTTTTAAACAATTACATAAACTGCACTTCCTTGCATTAGAAACTAAAGCCTCAATTCCTCATGGTTGGGAAGGGAGTTTTCTTCTCTTTTAAGTGACACCGTGTTGCTTACTCCTGTACTTAAATATGTTGAGAAATGTTCGTGGTGGGCTTGTTTAGATGTAGATCGTGTTTCACATGGGAAGGATGTCACCATAGACGTAAATACCATTCAAGGAAGTTTTTGGATGTTTCTTTCTTATAGAGATCTTTCCTTTTTCAAGCATCACAGTGGTGATGTATCTCATGTCATGGGTTGATCGGCATCTTCCTCAAAAATATTGAATGGCTTGGTTCTGGATAGCTGCTGGCATTCTCATGCAACACATCAACACTGTTAATGAGCTTAGCATCTGCTCTTTACTCCTTGCTAATTAATTTAGAAGACTAAAGTTCTTCTAGGTTTAAGCTTTTGTACTGTATGTATCATTTGAAAAGTCAATTTCAGTTAGCACACACAAAAGTTAACAGAAGATATATAAGGTATTGATGCTTAACTTATGTCATAAATGTTATCTGAACCTTGGGATCTATTTTTATTTCCATAGTTCACGGCTACGCTGTTTTTTCAGAAGAAAAAAATTGAAGGACTTGATTTTATTTCCTTGTTCTGCAATTGACTGAACACTAATCTTTTCAGACTCCTTCATTTTTGTTCTTTGAAATATTTCGCAGCGCTCTCAAGGATCGCAGATTTCCACCCATACAGGCTAAGGAATTGCCTTATTTGGAGTGTACAGTCTCTATTCTTACTGATTATGAAGCTGCTGACCATTACCTTGATTGGGAGGTATGTGCTGATTTATTTGTTTTAGGCAGAACTTTTAGAAAGAATCTAAAAGTAACGTTTAATCCATCAGTTGAGCTGTCCAACCAGATCCTATAGCCTCCTCAGTTCAATGTTTGGTCTGATTACTTATAACACTGCATGTTACTGAATTTGGAGATAGTAGTTCTCATTATTGAAGTTACGGAGAAGGCATAGTTTGTTTTATTGTTTCAAAAAAGATTGATTGCAAAGGTGATAAGCATTCTTTGACGTCTTAGTCTTAGTCCTTTGATCCTTTGACGCGTAAAGCTCACTACAGAAAAATAAGCCAATGACATTAACATATGATGTGATCCATTCATGCTTATTTATGGCCTTGAGTTTTCTTTTTATAGCATATGGGTTTCCAAACCCTAACGTAACTCAACATCAACAAACTTAAGACGGATAAGTGCTTGTGTTTTTTTATTTAGGATCTTACCATACATGACATGAAACTTGATGTGGTGAAAGTGGTATATATAACATGAAACTTGATTTGGGGAAGTGGAGGAAGCATAAAACTGTTTCTTGATTGGGTAGAGGAAACTGAGGCTATAAAGCATCTAAGTTGAAACTGAGGCTAAACAAGGAGATTTACGTGCTGATAAAACACTAATATTGATTTCATTAGAATATGACTTGATGGAGAAGATTTATTCTTTTTGGCCAATATTTCTCTGCTATGCATCATACAATAAGTTCACATGAGAGGCTACACAACTAATGCTCTGTAACCCCCCCCCCCGGGGGGTGCCGGCGTTCCTTTTTCCCTTTTCTTTTGAGGATTAACCTTAGAAGGGTAGCCTGAGATTAGCTTTGATTGCTGCATGGTACACATTTTACATATTTTATGTCTAAGTTTCTGCTGAATAATGAAAGCCTTGTGATGATATTTTCCCCCAGTGTATATGCTAACAGTTCAGTGTGCAGTTGGGTGAGCGTGTCAGGTATAGAAAATATTAATAAGCCTGACTATGCGCAAAGAATGCAAAATATTTGCTTAATTCTTGGTTTTGTTCCTTTTTTTTTTTTTTTGGGGACTTTAGATTCTACTGATTTTCTTGCAGGTAGGAAAGCATGGTTTAATTATTGAGTTTGTTGATCCTGACCATAATACAAGGCGAAGTGCCACTTACTTGCCTGAAGTAGCTGCCCACGAAGGTAGCTTGACAGATGTTTACTATTCCCTCTGTTGCTTTCCCCCCCTCATTTTCCTTTGCAAGAAAATTTTTGTTCCTATTTATCTGTCTCTTTAAAAGTCCAAGACAGTATTACTATTTTTTCTTGATACCCTTCTCTTTACTAACTTTAGAAGTCCAAGGCAACATTAATCAGTAAAATCAATTAAGAGCATATTAGAAAATATAAAAGGAATCATGTTATGTTAATGGCATTGCTTGATCTGTGTTAAAACCTTGTAAGATTGATAAAAGGAAATGGAGGGAGTATTGAACTTTGTTCTCCATGTCATGATTACTGACCATGGGAAGTTCTCAGCAAAAATTTATAGAGTTCTCTGCGTAACAAAATGGTAAAGGGCATTATGAAATCATCTGTCGCAGATGTTTCCCTCTGGAAATGGATGTCCTTTTTATTACACAGAAGATGCGTATAATATTTATTATTTTTATGATGATTATTTAACAGTGACTGTTTTATTTTTAAATCTTTTTAAATTGAGAGACATAACAGACATCCTTATCACAAAATTACTTTTTTCTTCTTTGACATCATCTTTTTATGCCTCTAATTGCTTGGTATATAATGAAATATGGGCGTAAATCCGACGATCTGTGTCTGCATACTCTGATTTTAGGTTGGACAAAAACAGAGGCCATTGACTCTTTGATCCGCAAAGCAGGCTACAATGGCCAAATTACTGAGTCGCTCAGGAAGCGTTTACAACTGACTCGTTACCAAAGCACTTTATTTACCATGAGCTACGGTGAATATGTCTCCTATGTGAAGGAGACAAGAGGTGAGGCTCCTTTTATTCTTGGGCCTAAGCCACGTCACTGATGGTTCTCACAGACAATCTTTGCTGAAGGTGCATTGCTTGTCTGGTGAAAAGAGGGAATTCCTATGGATGATTCTGATTCAATTGTCTGTTGGGTTGGACCTGATTTGTTTCTCTAGCCCAAGATACTGTTGTAATTGTTGCAACTCGTCATTCTTCAAATTCATTGGATTTTGAAGAAACTTGTTTAGCATTGAACTCAGTTTCTGTGACTGTCTGCTTTCACCTAATTTAGCAGCGCAAGAACGCTGCAGAACTCCTCAACTGTTTCATATGTGAAACTCATCAATGACTGAAATTTCAACTCTTTTCTGTCAAGTAAAAATGTCTGAACGGTGCAGGCAAAAGAGAAGGGCTGTATGATGTGGTTTGTAGGGTTTGAAAGCTCAATAGATGTGAGCATTGCTGGATTATTAATTTGTTAGGTACTGGGGGTTTGCGCGAAGATTGGAAAAGAAACCTGTGGATTGAGATATTTTTTCCCCTTAACGTAAGACCTATTTAACTAATTTGATTAGAGTAAAAAAGTTAGGTAAATTAGTTATTTATAAAAAAAAGTCATTTTTTTAAAAATATCATAATCATTTTTTTTAATATCCTCCATCCTTATCTTACTTGATTATGATTTAAGGAATATTAATTGGGATAATAAAAAAAATTGATAAATATGAAAAATATGTATTATATTTAAGATTGAAATCATCATAACAATTATGTCTTTTATTGACTATTAGAGAAGTATTTTATAACACCTAATTGAGAGATATAATTGATGTTTTTATGATGCACTCGTTAGTTGAACCTTAAAAGGTGCGATAATTTCTCCTCATTGAAACTGTAAATGCAAACATTTACAGGGTACTTGTAAGGATTACGTGGGAATGTTGATTGATTGGGAGGAAAATGGAGGAATGTTGTAGAGAGCTTTGAAGTTTGAACACGCTTGCCCTTGAACTAGGTTGGAACAGATGACATAGGTACGCTTTGAAAACTTGGATTCAGCTGGTTTTGAAGAACTATTCTGCCATTCTTGCGGGCAAGTTAGGACGTAGACATTGGTATGAGATGCCACTTATGACACATCCTTCTCTCATCTAATGCTTTAAAATATTGAAAATTTTAGGTTTTGTTTCAAATAACTACTTAATGACAATTGAGTGTTATTATAGATATTCACTCTTTTCCCCACAGGAGGAATGTCTTCGTCTCTTCGTCTGTCACTTGCTAGTAACACCCAAAATTAAACACAGCTACTCTATATTATCATCCCAAGTAAACAAATATTTCATATTCATCTGGAGTCACGCTCATTTGAGAGACGAAACCTCAAACAGTCGTTTGGACAGAGTTCATCACGCACCAAACCCGCTGGCACTTGTTATTTTCCTTGTTTTATTAACATTGCCGGAAGAAGAGGAAAGGGAAGAAAAGCACTTAATTCTTAGTCATACCAAACATTTACTTCATCCTACCCTGCCCAACAAGGCCGAGAAAGGTTCTCGTCATTGTCTTTTTCTTTTCTTTTCTTTTTATTTTTTCATTTTTTCCCTTGGATAAACCCGTGCAGACAAACATATTCTATGTATGTTTTGATCAAAATTTGCTCCGGTACCAATAAACACCCTTCTGAGATGCTGCTTCGTCAGGTTCCACACAGACGCACTCTCTTGCTTCCCTCCACAAGGCCTTGTAAAAGGGAGTGCCGTCGAACTGGTAGTACTCTCCCAGTATAGGCTTCACTGCTTTTGTTGCTTCCATTGCATGGTAGTGAGGCATTGTGGAGAAGAGATGGTGGGTCACATGAGTGTCTGTTATGTGATGAAACACCTTGTTCAGTATCCCATAGTCTCTATCCACTGTTGCTAATGCTCCTCTCAGCCAGTCCCATTCAGATGAGTCGTAGTGTGGCAATGCAGAGTTTGTGTGCTGCAAATAAGTGATTGTCACCAGGAAGCCATTAACAATCAGCAATGGCACCCCATAAACACAGACAAGCCAAGCTACTCCTTTCACGCTGGCAATGTGATAAAGCGCATAGGTTACACCAAGCACACAAGCGTCAGAGAGGTATATTAGCAGCCTCTCACGGTTGGAATAGATGGGGGCATATGGATTGTAGTGGCTTGCGAAACGGTCATAGGGTCTGCCAGAAACATTGAAGGCCAAGTACAAAGGCCACCCAAGGGTGAGTGTAAGGAGGAGAGTGAGAGCCCTTCCCAGTGGGTTGTTTAGGTATTTGCCGTACCATGGGATTTTGGACTTGGGTTTTGGGACAAACACTTCATCACGCTCGAGGGAGCCTGTGTTGGAGTGGTGGCGGCGATGACTAATCTTCCATGAGAAGTATGGGACTAGAAGAGCAGAATGGAGGATTAGACCTACCAAATCATCAAGCCATTGGTAGTCACTGAAGGCATGGTGACCACACTCATGGGCAATCACCCATACACCAGTGAGAGTGCAGCCTTGGAGAGCCCAATAGATGGGCCAGAGAAGGTAGGGAATTGAGTGAGGAAGGAGATGGAAGTAAGTAGTGGCAGTATAGAAAATATAGGCCAAGAAAAGGTCATGAGCAACATAGGAGAATGAGCAGAAGAGGGAACGCTGGAAGCAATGTGGGGGAATGGCTTTCTTGAGTTCACCAACAGTGAAGGGTGGTTTTGAGTGTGGAGACCTTGAAAGAGGCTTCTGTTGCGCTCCAGGTGCAGTAGCCACACGGCCTCCAGCTCCCATTGTTTCCTCAGTCTAGCTGGCATGAAAATAGGATTAGCCCGTCAGTTTCTGAGTATCTAATTCAAACAGGAATCTTTAAAAGTACTCCTCAGTGCTTACTATAAAACAAACGGCAGATGTATAAAGCAATGGTCAGAAAGTAATATTCCAGAATGTGAAGGTGGTCCTCTTTCTGCCATCACATGACACGAAATCATATATCAGACAAAGAAGTGGTCCTGCTAAGATTGTATGCTTATGACCCTTCAGTTAAACCCAAAAAAGGAAAGGAGAGATGGGCGTTTGGGGGCTTAATCAATATATAAGATTCCTTTAAGCTCATGGAAAAATAATAAGAACAAAATTCACACATTCAGAGTTAATGATTTAACTTCATGACTCGTAGCCTGTATGATTTATCTCTATTTGAAAGGTGATAGAAACGCTACCAGAATTGATTTGGAAGCGCACAAGGACGACTTTGGATCAATATAAAACATGTACACCACATTAAAGTTTCAGAAGTAGGTTGATGCATCACATGAGGCTAAGGATTTCTGATTCAGAGGTTTGCGAAACGTGTGAGGCTAACCAGCTAACCAGCTAACATGCAAAACCAAATGCAGTGATGAATTTTGCAGGAGGGCCCACTGTAGTAATGGTGAAGACCTATTTTCCGACCTGCCAAAGTACAACACAGGTTTTGTAGCATTCATGACCACCTACTGACCACACATCTTATTGAGGTTTTCTACTTCAAATAAAAGAACAGAACTAACGTGAAGTTCTTCATGGAGAAACAACAGCACATGTAGAATGGTACATCACGTCACTGACTCTCTCTTATAATTCCCCATATACCACAAAATCGATCAGAGTCATCGACTCTTTCTCTAGAATGCTCCACATACAACTTGTCGTTATCTATATTAAGAACTTCAGGTCAAATATGAGGAATTTGCATGAGTTTTGTTCATTAGTTGAGTTCGTAGGGGGTTAACTATTAAATTCTTAAAGATAATATGTAAATATTTTTCCAACTCAGCTCACATTATTTACCCTTTCTTTTGTTTAGATCTAAAATTTTTCTTCTCGTTTCATAATTTAGAAGAATCAGATGGCAAAGTCCAAACCAAGTAACTCTGGCCAAGCTTTATGCATAAGAGCAATGCCCAGAAAAATTTACGAGGGGATGAACAAGGTAAAAAAGAGCAAAAATCTTCCCAAATCTCAGTAGTTCACGGAAACCAGAATGAAATAATTATGCAAATAGAAGACAAAACTTTTTAGACCACATCGCAATCTGTATTATGTTCATTTCAAAAGCAAAGAAGCAGAGAGCCAGAGACATGAATGAGCTTATACTTACAATATAGCAGTCACGGACAATGAGGAGGAAGCAGCTATCTGCAATTAAACTACAAAAAGGAAAAAAGAAGTGACGCGCTTTATAATCTGTTGGTGGTGTCTATTTATTACTAGTGAAGGCTAATAATACTGTACATGTTTTTCCAAGGTAGTCAAGCATTAGATAAAATGCCAAAGAAAGAGAACGGGACGCGAGGAGGCAATGCACCTCGTGAAGACAAAAGAGGGCAAGAGGGAACACATCTTCCGATAGCATCTCTGTAGCGTGAAGAAATATGCTTATACTGATCCAGGGTTTTTTTAAAAAGAAAATATGTATAGGACGGTAACAATGATGGAGAACGAATCTTCAGAATATCAAGAAAACTTGTGAAAGGCTACAAAAACCGAAAAGAAACAGGTTCTGATTTATAAGACCAGCGGCAACAACGAAGACTCTCAGCTTAAATCAATCTTTAAAAAAATAACAGATTCGTTACGCAATAATTTTGTGAAGTGCCTTGAAAGATATCGAAAACAGAAACGGACATAAAATAAGTT